TTTCAGGCTGGACATAAGGAAGAATTTCTTTACTGTCCGAGCCCCCAAGGTCTGGAACAGCCTGCCATCGGAGGTGGTTCAAGCACCTACATTGAACACCTTCAAGAGCAAATTGGATGCTTATCTTGCTGGGATCCTATGACCCCAGCTGACTTCCTGCCCTTTGGGCAGGGGGCTGGACTCGATCTTCCGAGGTCCCTTCCAGCCCGAATGTCTATGAAATCTATGAAATTTCAAGCCAGTCTCAGTCTCTGCTGTACGCTGATGTGCTGTGATACAGTGCTGCTACCCCACCTCAGTGCTTTACTGGAGCACTCCATGCTATCTGTTCTTGTCCTCAGCCTTCCTTGAGCAGAGGATGGCTATCCCACAGCCTGTGGTGGCTGAGGTGAATAAGCCTCTTCTGACTAAGCCAAAACTTTAAACCTAGGCTCTGACAGGTGATGCATTCCCTTGCTATGCTGTCTCTGGTTTTGCTGCTTGGTTTTATAACCTAGAAGCTGAAATACCATTGAGTATCCTTACTCTGGGTGAGACTTGATCATGCAGATCTGGCAAGAATGTGTGCATATGCACACACAGTCTCTCAGAAAGGCGGCAGTGTAGCCTCAGAGCAGTCCTAAGCACATAACCAGCACTCAGGCATCTTGAGCCTGCTTCTTTGCACACAATTTGTCTCGTTTCCAAGACTGACACATAGATGCAGTGAAAGTGAGCGAGGATGGGGGGTGTGCTGCAGAGTGGGTCTTCTGAGCACAGCACAGAGATGACGTAGGCAAGTCTGTATGCAGTCCATAAACCTGCGTTTCCAGACCATTTCCTTATGCATGAGAAACTCATTCTCCATCTCCCAGCACAGCTTTCCTTGGGGGGACTGACATGATGCTTGGTGGAGATCAGTAGAATGTCTTTTCTCAGTAGGAACGTAGCCTTGCTGCCACGGATATCGCCTGTGCTGATCAGAGTTTGGGTGTCCTTGTCATGAACACAGAGGTGCTTTGCTGACCCTTGCTTTCTGTTTCTAGACTGATTCATTCAGCAAGCGGCCGCTCTTACCATGAGGAGTTCAACCCCCCGAAAGAGCACATGAAGGACGATGTACGTGAGCCGCTGAGACATGTTTCCTCTGAAATCTCCTTTGCAATCACCTTGGGTTTGGCTAATGCTGTGCAGCATGTCTGCAAAGCTTGCTTTCTCTCTCTCACACAAACACTCCCCTCCTACTGGGGGTCAACCTTCCCAGCTCGCCCTTTCCCCGCAGGCAAGCTACAGCATGGGCTGTAGATGGTTACGCAGGTTCTGATGCCTCTTCTGGGTAGGCTCAACCTCGCTCCCTTAGTAAACAGCTTTGTGCCCCTGTTCAGACTCCTCACTTGTCCCTTTCTCCAGAGCCAAGCCTTACCCCTCCACCTCCTGTGACCAGCCAGGAGAAGTTGGATGCAGCTGTATGGGTGGAGGAAGGGATGTCCTGCTCTCACAAAAGGTCACTGCTGGGCTGTAGCTTATCTCTGATATTTTTTGGCTGCCTTGGTGTTGCCTTCTCCCAGGTCACTGGGGAGCCCTTGATCCGCCGTTCTGATGATAATGAAGCAGCTCTGAAGACTCGGCTGAAGGCCTACCACACACAGACCACCCCACTGATCAACTACTACACCCAGCGTGGGATCCACACGGCCATCGACGCCTCCCAGTCTCCTGACGTGGTGTTTGCCAGTATCCTGGCAGCCTTCTCAAGAGCAACATGTAAAGACCTGGTTATGTTTATGTAGAGCTCTTGGTTTGTGCAGAGCTCTCTCTTCTCTCTCTGTCTCTCTCTGCTGGGGTCAGGGGTGTAGTCACTAGAGAGTGAAAGAAGGGGGTGATCCTGCAGCCTGAGAGTGGACTGTGCCCATTAAACAAGCACTTGACAGTCTGTGAGCACAGTGGTGTCTGTAAGCGTGAATTGCCTGTAGAGGGCACAGTGAACTAACGCACCCGCCTGTCGCTGCTATAACATGTTGGCCTCTGTTCAGGCTGAAAGTGAAAGAATTCTAGTTTCGTTCACGAGACAAAGTTAATTGGAAAACAGCTGCACTTCTCACTGCTAAGCAGGGGACTCGGCATGAGCCTCACAGGAGGACTGGCAGTCGGGGCTGAGGCATGTGGAGGAAGCTTACAAAATGTCAGGCTGGTGTCACTGTCTGTCCACTACTGCAGATAAAATGTTTTGTCTGCTCGGGGGGGTGGGGGGTAGAGAATGGGTGAATCTAGTGGGGGTGGAGTGTCTGACTGCACGTGTGTGTGTGAGCCCACATGGGTTATCTGTTTAGGGGGGATCAGGTGAATCCAGCGGAAATGTAATGATTGACTGTGTGTGGGCACGCGTGTGTGTGTACAACTTACTATTATTCCATTCCAGGTAAGCAGATACTTGTGCCCCCTTATCCTTGTCCTCTTCTGTCTTGTGTGAGGAGAGCTCTCACCTTTACATCTACATGTAACTGACTCAGTAGAGAGATCTCATGGGGAAGGAAAGGGCAAGTAGGCAATAAGAGGGGTTGAGCTGGGATATCAATTCTTTTTCCTTGTTCCCAATGTCTGAACCTCTAGAGCTTGGTGTACACGCCAGTGATTCGTCAAGGACTCTGAGATAAAGCTATAACTGACACTTTAAGTGCCCTTGAACTCCTCTCCAGCCTGACCTGCTGTGTGACAGCATGGAAATGTACTTGAGTTTCTCAACCTAGGCTAAAAGCGTGACTGAATCCTGCACTGCTGTGTGTTTGTTTAATCCCAGAGGTTATTTTACCACGTTTCGGTGCTGCAGTAAAAAATGAGGCTGGTAAGAAAGTAATGAACCTTGTCCTGTGTGGAAATCCAGCTGCATCGTCAATGCTAGTTGGCTGGCCTTGATAAAACTCAGCCTTTGACCTTCAGTTGGTTTTTCTCACTTGGTGTTTAAGGGGATATAGACTCTCTCCTTCTGCATAGGGCAGGGGTGGGCAAAATGCGGTCTGCGGGCCAGATGCGGCCTGCCAGGCGATTCTATCCAGCCCATGGGGCCTCCCCAAAATTTAGAAAATTAATATTTATCTGCCCCTGGCTGCCTGTCATGCGACTTTCGATGGCTTGCCAAAACTCGGTAAGCAGCCGTCCGCCCAAAATAATTGCCCGCCCCTGGCATAGGGGATATGGACTCTCTCCTTTTGGTGGCTGCTGTAGGGTATGGCCTGTTCAGCCAGAGGGCGTCCTGTCCTCCTTGTTCACGATTTCATTTCATCTGAAAACCACTTAATTCCTGAACATCCCTTCTCAAGAAGTGCAGCCCTCCCCTCCCTATCGAGACTGCTGTAAATAGCCCCAGAAATTGAAAGCAGTCTTGTCACTGCTGGTTTGTGAAAGCATGTGACTGTGCGGAAAGGGGCTCAGAAGGAAACACGGCAGTTTCAGGATTCACTGGCAGTTGTCCCCTGACTTAGCTTCTTGGACTTCTGTTGTTGTATAGATTGTTTCCTCCTGCTGTTGCCACAGGGGTGACCTTGAGGGGGTGGTACGGCTGGCTGGTTTCTGGGCACAGGTGTTTTGAGGGGGCGGTGGTGGGAGACAGGTCACCAGTTAGTCTAGGACAACAAATGTTCAGGGAGTAGGCGGTAATAGATGGGTGTGTCTGAAGCCACTCGCATGCATTTTGCATGCCGAGAGAAAAGTCTCTCCTATCAGAGCAGCTTTTTATCCCAACTCCTGCTTTTGAATCTCTAGAGAGAAAGGGGGCACTGGAAGCAATAAAGTAATGGAAAAGAGGGTTGTTTTTTTTTCTAAGAAGTCATCCTGGATGCGGGAGAGGCTTGGTTTCCCCATGAGAACAGCATGTTCCCCTGCATTCAGTCTGAGTGGCGGCCATGTCGGCCCCATTCCACCATACATCATGATTCATTTGGTGGGTTTTTTTTTCTCCTTAAATCTATGTTTCTTTTTTTTTCTTTGTTTCCATTTTATTCCAGCCGAGTGACTGCGTGAGCCAGATGAGACGCCACCAAAGGCTGCATGCTGTTCCACATCATTCCATCCCTTCCCTTTGGGAGAGAGGGGGGGCTGTGGCAGGGCATGGGGTCGTGGCTGATCAGAGGAAGGGTGGGGAAGATGCCAAAGGCAGACTGGTTTTTCTCATCAGAATCATGCTTAAGAGGAGATTTTTATCTCTCTCAAATCAGCATATGGGGAGGAAGAATGACTGCAGAGTGAAAATGGATTTCTGTGCCAAAGACCAGACCCGAGATCCTTTGCTGTGTTAAGAGGGCTGGACTACCACCCTTCCACTTGGGACTGCAGTGCTTGCTCCATGGTTTCTTATGACTCCAGGGAGGTTGCAGAATGGGTTGTTCTGCTACTTGCCCTCAGCTCCCTACGGTTGACCAAAATGAATGAATGCCTCCTTAGCTCTCAAAAGGAAAGACAAATTTAGTCAGCTTTTTTTCTCCCAATTCATGGAAGTTCTGGCCTTTCTCAGGGCAATCTTAAAATGAAGCTGTGGTGCTCATCAGTCATCTGAGAAGCCATTCACTCCCATATAATGTGTCTAGGGTCCTGAGCTGTAGTCCAAACCTGTCTTCAAGAGACAATGGCTCCTTTCTGATCTTGGCAAAACTAATGTCAAAGAAATGCAAAAGGATATTTCTCCTCTCCCATTTGACTGAAAGTGGCACTTGGATTATTTTTGCCTTTCTTTACAGACCAAATGCTGCCTTGTCTAGTCTCTGAATCAATAAAATGTCTTTTAAATTTTGTATCCGTAGTTGCGTCCTTGTCTTTGACCTATGCACAGTACAGAATGGGAGATTGTAATCAGGTGTGTTATATCGTACTACACCGACACTTGAGAGGGGGACTTTCTGGTTAGCTGCTTTGTGCAGCGCAGATATTGCCCTGCAAACTCTTGACAAATGTTTCCAGCTCCTTGCTACCATAGTAGTGACTTCTCTTGCTGCCCGAGTTCTGCTTTTCTGCATGCAGAGAGTAGAAATGCACCTAACCACCTTTTTGTGCTTTGCCCCCATCTTGGCTGGACCTCATCTTGTGGGCATTTTCCACAGCTGATCCATTTCTAGCCGTGCTGGTGGTCCTCCCTAATTCCATTGGTGTTTTATGGCTTGAAACAGGCCTGCATTCCTTCCCTTCCCCCCACGCTGCAAGTCAAGCATTCCTGCTTCTGTGTGCAGCTGTTTCTTCCCATCTCTTCTGTACCCTGTGAACGTGTCCTTCATACTGACTACCTTGCACCCTCCTCTCCTAACACTGTGCATCCTAGCAAAATAAAAGAACAAAATCTGCCCTAACACCATTTTTAGAGTACTGCATTCGTCATCTTCCTTTATCCCAGCCTCCTCGGGACTCTGACCTTGTGCATTCTCCTCTCAGGTGATTTTTGGGAGGGATGGTTGTCTTGATATGGCTGTTCACAATATAGCAGCACCCCAATCCAGCATTGGGACCCCCTGGAGTTTGCCTAGTGCTTACCAAGTTGATAAAAATGTGGCCTCCCTGTCATCTATGATCTCTTTCCACGATTATTCTGTGTCCTTGTGCTGGGTTTCTTTACAGCTTTGATTAGCGTATTCCCTTGCAGGCAAGCTTTGGTTTTGTGATGTTCCTACATTACCTCTCGATGGTAGACCTTAAGCTGTCCCCTTTCTAGCCGTTTGAGTGTCCTTTCTTACCCTGGCCTTGCTTGCTGCGTCAGGCTTCCTAGAACTGATAAGGGAAGTCATTGGGCAACTCAGAGCTGGGATCCTGTTTGAAACCCCCAAACAGACTGCACGCAGAGCTTGCAATGATCTGCTCGAGTCTGCTTTTGAGACCGGCCGTGGTGGCAGTAGATGGGGCTTGCTTGAGACGAGCCTGCAGCCTGTATAAAGGGGATCTATTCTGAGCCCCTTTCTCCCCCTGGAGTGTTGCTTCAGCAGGCGATGCTCTGCAGGTGTTGTAAATGTTGTTTGATGACTTCACCCCTGCAAGCTGCTTATCATGTGCTCTCTTCCAAGTTGTGTTCATATTTCATACAGCTAAATTATTCAGCCAGTGTAAAAGGGAATATGCCCTATTTATAGCACTAAGGGCAGCTTGGTTTAGGACTGCGTATGCGTTTTCTTGTGAAATGCGGTGCGGCTTCGATGCAACACTTGCTTCTAGGGAGGCATCATGCTCTGTCGGGGGGGTGGGGGCAGGGAAACAGCAGATCATTGTTTCTATTGAATTCATCAGAGCTGCTCACCTGCCTGAGCCAGCTGCAAAATGCATTGCAGCAAACCTCTTGCTCTACCCAGTGTGTGTGAGCTGTAGGCTGCAGGATATATTATGGGGTGAGTGACTAGAGCCAACTCCCTGACCTGTCAAGGGTATTTAGAGCAGGGAACCATGGCTTCAGCTGCAGGGACCGTTTGGCAGCAAACAGTCCTGTGAATCTGCCCCACGTGGAGCAAGGGAGATGGGAGTGACATGGCACGTCCTACATGCTTTGTGCAGGGGGAGGGATACTGCACTCCCTTCTCACCCTGCCAAGAACATGTAAGGATGGGGCACAAAGCGCCCACCTAGCACTAGGCAGGTTTGGGATGCAGGGCACACAGCAAACCGCCTGATGAGAGTGTCCTTGCGTCTATTGTGCCCGCGACTGGTCCTGGTACCCCATCCTCTCACCTGTCCTATACCATGCCCTTGATTTTTTTTTTTTTTTTCCTCCTTACCAGCCCCAATTGCCCTGCCTGTCCTGCCTGCTACTAGGCACCGCTGTCCAAAGGGTGGGGGGTCCCGCCCCACGTGCATGGGGCAGAGCAAGAGGTTTGCTGCAATGCCTCTTGCAGCTGGCTCAGGCAGGAGAGCAGCTCTGATGTCACATTTTGAGCCCGCTGCACAATGCCAAGAGAGTGGGTAGGAGGGGAGAGGCCTCAGGGATGGAATTCCCCCCTCTTCAGTTGCTAAGGCAACTATTTCCACGGGTAACGGGCAAACACCGCACAAAACCGGAACAGCCGGGTGATGGGGAGGCTGGCCATTGGCTGAGAGAGCAGAGTTGCTGGGTGACATCACGGGAAAGGTGCTGGGGGGGTGCGGGGAGGGAAGAGAACAAGGGAGGCTGCTCTGCTGCCGCGGCTGCGGAGGGGAGTGGACCAGAGAGCACCAAGGGGATCCACAGCAGGTAAGAAAGGATCCCCCTGCTTTGAAGAGGCCAGGGGACGGTCCCCTCCGCCTCCCCAGCTCTTTAGACGGGCGCCCATCACCGTGGCATCCAGGCCCTCCATCCCTTTTCTCTACACGCCCAACCCTTCTGACCAAGCGTGTGGATCAGAGTTGCCTCTGAGGTTGCCTGGCACTGCTGACAGCATGTGGTCTAATCCGGGTCAGGGTATCTGAGCTGCACTTGGCCCTTGAGCTCTGTGCCAGGCCACGGCCACCCGCCCCAAGCGGGGGGCGCGGGAGGGAGCCCGAGCACCGATAGCGAGCCCCTGGCTGTCGCTAAATGGGAAGCAGGAAACGTGGGGCAGCAAGGGCTTGGAGGAGAATGGGTGCCAGCGATGGGCGGCGTGCAGTGTCCCTGCTGCATCTGGGAGTGGGAAGCTGAGCTGTTTTTAACTTAAAGTCAGGGTCTGGCACAGGCATGGGCAAACCAGGCAGCTACCCGGGGCTGAAAGGGGGCCCAAAAACGGTTTGTTGTCCGATTTTACTACTATCATAACCTCTGACGAAGGGGATACTAAAAATTCGCCCAGGGCTGCCAGGAGCCTAGGTATGGTGCTGGTTAAAGTGTGCCGATGACCAAAAAGTCCCATATCTGGAAAGGGCGGGTCTCCCCGGCTGGTGAAACGGGAGATTGTAAGCAGCGTTGGGGCACTGGGACACAGTCCACGAGTTCTTGTCTAAGGGAAGGAGCAGAGATTTTTGCACTTGCCAAAGGTCTCGCATGCCGGTAGAGGCCAGGGACAGCACACAGTCACTCTGCTGTTTCCAGGAGTTTTCTAGTTCGGGCAGAGTGTCGATCCCTTGTCCTCGGGGCTGGGAGGGAGGGCAGTGACAAGCCTGGATGTCAGGTTGCTTTGCAGCAGAGCAGTTGCATAACCAGACCTGGGCATCTAGGAGGAAAGACTCTTGTGCTGGCTCAGTGTGGGATGAATTGCATCTCTGGCTATAACCTAGAGGCTAGGATTCTTCTTTTTCATTAACCCTTGAAAAAGCGTCTGGATGGCATGATGGTAGCACTGCTTCTCCCCCTTCGGGCAGGCGAAAAGCCAACGGGCAGCAGCACGTTAAGTGTGAAACAACGCAGCAGCCCTGGCTGCTGTTGCAGCTCTTCCCTGGATCAGCACATACAACGCGAGCCTGGCTGGGGTTGGGGAAAGCACCTGGGATGCTCTGGCTGAGGCATGCTGTCAGGCAAGCGTGGGTGGTGATTAAAATCCCCTTGTAACTCAGCAAACAAATAACAGGGATTGCAAATGCAGGAGAGTCTAGATCCCAGTGGGGAAGTAGATGCAGTGCTCCAATCACAGTCAGGGAAGGATGCCAGCAGTTGAGGGCATCGGCTCATAACTGTCTCATTAAAACTGCTTACAATTCTCCCCCGTATAGATGGGAGCACAATAATCCCTTGAAAGGCTGTGGGCCTGAAAATAGCCAAGGTGCCAGCAACCGTTGTGCAGTAGGTACCATGGCGAAGGCAATCCTTAGAAACCCCCAAGAAAGAGATTGGATGGCGTCTTAATGAGGAGTGCAACTAAACTTGTAATTAAACTGCAAGGTTATCCCAAGGTGCATCAATCGTCTCCTCAAGGGAACTGGCTATATGCAGAGCTACCAGGGGACGGCTCGAGGCGGGTTACTCTGCTGCGTATTTTGTAGTCACCAGGTAAACAGCTAATGTTGCTCCCTGGTGATTTCATCCGATAGTCCTGGGGCTGGGGCGACAAGCGGGCTGGCCGAGGGCGGGCTGCGGTGCGATTGCCCGGGTGGCTGGGTTTCATGTGGGTTTTATGACGTCGGTAGACGGCAGGAAGGAGCCCTGCAGAGAGAGCTCTGCCTGCATTGCCTTTTTGCAGTTGTGCTCAAGCACGAATGAGACGTGGTGGGAGGTAGCCAAATGGGTCCGTGCAACTGCTGGGCTGTCCGGCACAGACGGCAGTGGTGTCAGGAACACCACACACCGGTCTGGGCAGGCACCTCGTCTCTCACGTGGCTTTTTTTTAATCCGTTTCTCCTGCGGTTTGAGCCTCCAGCGTGCTGGTGGGCCAAACAGGATGATAAACACGTTTTGGCTAGGACTGCACCTAACCCGCGCTTCAACTTGACATTCGAGCGCTGTCAGGAAGCCAGCGCATAAGAGGCCTTAAAAAAGCAGGGACCCTCGTGCCGCTTTCTCTCTCCCCCTCTGCCTTGTTCAGCAGCTGGTCCTCCTCAACTTTTCCTCACGTGATTTGGTTGCGCAAGAAAATCGCCTGGAACGGGAATGTAATGCAGTCGGGTCTCCCCGCGCAGACGAGCTCAGGTTACGGTCTGATGTGATGGGGCGCTATTGCGGCGTAACGTTCCCCAGTCGTGTTACGTTTCTGGACGCACGGGCCCCAAAATCAGCGACCGCTGACCGTGCGCTGTGTGCCAGGGGTAGTTAACACCGGGTTTTCTGAGCTTTGCGTTGACCCGGCTGCCGGAGCTGGAGAGACCAGACACCGTGGGAGGGTCGCAGTCTCTCTAAGGGCATGCCGGTGCCCAGCGGCACCCCTCTGCAGCCTGCTCCGCA